GATTCTTCTTCAATTTCGCGATTTTTTTAAATTATCGATTTTTCGATTTCTCAGTTTTCCGTTAGTTTTTCGATGCGTTAGCTTTTTTCGATTTCACAGATTTTTCGATTCTTAAAATTCTTAAAATTCTCGACTTTTCGTTTCGATTTTTCATTTTCGATATTTTGATATTTTGGTTTTTCCAATTTGTTAGTTATTTGATTCTTCAATTTTTGAATTTTTCAGTTTTTCAGCTTCTCAATTTTTCAGTTCTTCAGTTCTTCAGTCCTTCAGTCCTTTAGCTCTTTCGTTCTTCAGTTTCCCAGTTTTCCAGTTTCCCAATTACTCAGTTTGTCAATTACTCAGTTTATCTGTTTCTCAGTTTCTTGATTTCTCAATTTCTCAATTTCTCAATTGCTCAACTTTTCAATTCTTCAATTTCTCGATCTTCAATTTTTCCATTACATCAATTGGATGTGGATTTTTCAATTTTTGGATTCTTACATTTTGCGATTTTTCTCTGATTTCTTAGTTATTGGATTTTTCAGTTTTTCAGGTTTTCACTTTTTCAGTCCTTCAGTCCTTCAGTTCTTCATTTCTTCAGTTCTTCAATTTTTCAGGTTTTCACTTTTCAGTTTTTCACTTTTTCAGTTCTTCAGTCCTTCAGTTCTTCAGTTTGTCAGTTTTTCTGTTCTTTAGTCCTTCACTCCTTCAGTTCTTCATTTTTTCACTTTTTCAGTTTTTCAGATCTTCAGGCCCTCAGTTTCTTAGTTCCGCAGTTTCTCAGTTCCTCAGGTTCAATTACTTTATCTTCAATTTTTCGAGTACATCATTTTTCAATGTTTCAATTTTTCAGATTTTCAGGTCTTCAGTTATTCAGTTTTTCAGTTCTTTAGTCCTTCAGTTCCTCAGTTTTTCATTTTTTCAGTTTTTCAGTTCCTTACTTCTTCAGTTTCTCAGTTCTTTAGTTTCTTAGTTCCTCAGTTTCTCAGTTCTTCAGGTTCTCAGTTTTTTAGTTTTTCAATTTCTCAGTTTCTCAATTTCTCAATTTTTCAATTTTTCAAATTCTCGATTTTTATTTTTCGATAACTTCATTTTTCAATGTTTCAATTTTTCAGTTTTTCAGTTATTCAGTTATTTAATTTTTTGCAGTTCTTTAGTTTTTCAGTTTTTCATTTTTTCAGTTTTTCAGTTTTTAGTTCTTTAGTTCTTCAGTTCCTTAGTTTCTTAGTTCCTCAGTTTCTCAGTTTTTCAGTTTCTCAATTTCTCAATTTTTTATTCTTCAAATTCTTGGTTTTTCTTTTTCGTTTACTTCATTTTTCAATGTTTCAATTTTTCAGTTTTTCAGTTTCTCAGTTCCTCAGGTTATTAGTTTTTCAGTTTCTCAATTTTTCAGTTTCTCAATTTCTTAATTTCTCAATTTTTCAATTCTTCAATTACTTGATCTTCAATTTTTCGATGTTCCAATTTTTCAGTTTTTCAGGTCTTTAGTTATTCAGTTCTTTAGTCCTTCAGTTCCTCAGTTTTTCATTTTTTCAATTTATCAGCTTTTTAAGTTTTTCAGTTCTTTAGTTCTTCAGTTCCTCAGTTCTTTAGTTTCTTAGTTCCTCAGTTTCTCAGTTCCTCAGGTTCTCAGTTTTTTAGTGTTTCAATTTCTCAGTTTCTCAAATTCTCGATTTTTATTTTTCGATTACTTCATTTTTCAATGTTTCAATTTTTCAGTTTATCGGTTTTTTCATTTTTTCAGTTTTTTAGTTTTTAGTTTTTCAGTTTTTATTTTTTTAGTTCTTCAGTTCTTCAGTTCCTTAGTTTCTTAGTTCCTCAGGTTCACAGTTTTTCAGTTTCTCAATTTCTCAGTTTCTCAATTTCTCAATTTTCAATTCTTCAAATTCTCGATTTTTATTTTTCGATTACTTCATTTTTCAATGTTTCAATTTTTCAGTTTTTCAGTTTCTCAATTTCATAGCTTCTCAATTTCTTAATTTCTCAATTTTTCAATTCTTCAGTTACTTGATCTTCAATTTTTCGAGTACTTCATTTTTCAATGTTTCAATTTTTCAGTTTTTCAGGTCTTCAGTTATTCAGTTTTTCAGTTCTTTAGTCCTTCATTTTCTCAGTTTTTCATTTTTTCAGTTTTTCAGCATTTCAGTTTATCAGCTTTTTAAGTTTCTCAGTTCTTTAGTTCTTCAGTTTCTCAATTCTTTAGTTTCTTAGTTCCTCAGTTTCTCGGTTCCTGAGGTTCTCAGTTTTTTAGTTTTTCAATTTCTCAGTTTCTCAATTTCTCAATTTTTCAATTTTTCAGTTTTTCAGTTTCTCAGTTCCTCAGGTTATCAGTTTTTTCATTTTCTCAATTTCTCAGAGTCTTAATTTCTCAATTTTTCAATTCTTCAATTACTTGATCTTCAATTTTTTGAGTATTTCATTTTTCAATGTTTCAATTTTTCAGTTTTTCAGGTCTTCAGTTAGTCAGTTTTTCAGTTCTTCAGTCCTTCAGTTCCTCAGTTTTTCAGTGTTTCAGTTTATCAACTTTTTAAAGTTTTTTAGTTCTTTAGTTCCTCAGTTCTTTAGTTTCTTAGTTCCCCAGTTTCTCAGATCCTCAGGTTCTCAGTTTTTTAGTTTTTCAATTTCTCAGTTCCTCAATTTCTCAATTTTTCAATTCTTCAAATTCTCGATTTTTATTTTTCGATTACTTTATTTTTCAATGTTTCAATTTTTCAGTTTTTCAGTTTTTCAGTTTTTCAGTTGTTCAGTTATTTAATTTTTTGCAGTTTTTTAGTTCTTCAGTTTTTCATTTTTTCAGTTTTTCAGTTTTTAGTTCTTTAGTTCTACAGTTCTTCACTTCTTCTGTTCTTCAGTTCCTCAGTTCCTTAGTTTCTTAGTTCCTCAGTTTCTCAGTTCCTCCGGTTCTCAGTTTTTCAGTTTCTCAATTTCTCAGTTTTTCAATTCCTCAACTTCTCAATTTTTCAATTCTTCAATTTCTCGATCTTCAATTTTTCGATTACTTCATTTTTCAATGTTTAAATTTTTCAGTTTTTCAGGTCTTCAGTTATTCAGTTTTTCAGTTTCTCAGTTACTCAGTTCCTAAGTTTTTCAGTTTCTCTGTTCCTCAGGTTCTCAGTTTCTCAATTTCTCAATTTCTCAATTTCTCAATTCTTCAATATTTCAATTCTTCAATGTCTGGATCTTCAATTTTTCGATTATTTCATTTTTCGATGTTTCAATTATAGGATTTTGAATTTTTGGATTCTTCAATTTCGCGATTTTTTTAAATTATCGATTTCTCAGTTTTCCGTACCCTGTTCCAGTTTTGGAAGTTTTCAATTTTTCGATTTTTAAAATCTTTGATTGCTCGATTTTTCAGTTTTTCGATTTATCAATTTTTCGATATTTTAGTTTTGGGAATTTTCAATCTTTCAATTTTTCAAGTTTTCAATTTTTCATTTTTTTCAATATTTTAATTTTTCGATTTTTCAGTTTTTCAATATTTCAATTTTTAAATTTTAGCTTTTTCAGTTTTCCGTTTCTTCAATTTTTTGATTTGCAATTTTTCAGTTTTACGACATACAACTCTTTGAGTTTTCTTTTTTGAAAGTTTCGATTTTCAAACTTACAAATTTTTCAATTTTTAGACTTTGCAATTTTTCGATTGAGTTTTTCAATTCAATTTTCATTTCGTTGTTTTTTATCATTTGTGTTTATTTTTCTTTTTGCGATTTTTTTCTTTAGTTTTTCTATTTGCGATTTTTCGATTTTTCAATTTTCTTGTTTCTTCAATTTTTAGATTGTAAAGTAAATTAAAAAACTTGAAAAATTATAAAATCGAAAGAAACATTGAAAAAAGAAGGAAATGAAACGAAAATTGGTGATATAAAATCGAGAAAATGAAAATTAAAAAATCGGAAAAATGAAAGGTAAAAATCATGGACTTGAAAAATGGAGCAAACGAAAAATTGGAAAATTGAAAAATTGCAAATCGAAAAATTGAAACGGAAAATTAAAAAATCGAAAGATTCAAAATAGAGAAACTTAAAAATACAAAAAGCGAAATATGTATTGTAAAATCGAAATATTGGAAATTAAAGAAATCGGAAAATCGAAAAATCAGATAATTGGAAATACAAAAATTGCAAAATTGAAAAATTAAAAGTTGGAAAAAGAATTTGACAAATTTAGGGAACGAAAAATTGAAAAAAAAAATAGGAAACTGACAAATTGAAGAAACGAATAACTAAAAAATTTGGAAATCTAGAAATTGATAAATTGATAAAAAAAATTTGTAAAAACGAAAAATTATGAAACCGAAATGTTGAAAAATGGAAAAATTGAAAAATTAAGGAAAATCGAAGAAAAAGGAAATACGAACGAATTGTTCGAAGGTAAAAAATAAATAAATCCAGATTTTTAAATTGTAAAATATTCTCCAAAAATTTTGATGTCTAGTGCGAAAACTCATTGCGTATTCATACATCACAAGTGGAGGAAAAACGCCACTGGAAAAATTGGTCGTTGAATAGAAATGAACAATTCATTGTCATAATTTTATTTATAGCGCAATTTTTAAATGGAAATAACTAATTTAATGCTTCTGTTTCAATAATTAATGTGTATACGTGACGAAATTGATTTTCCGAGGCTTATTTTAATCGCAAATTGAACTACCTCATGGAAAATTCCGCTTATATTAAAACGAAAACTTAAATTATGCAGATAAAATCAAGTAATTATCTCCGTTTAATCGAAGCCACTTTTTGCTCCATCTAATTAAAATAGGTGGAGAAAATCAATTTTCTTTTTTCCACTACTAAATTAAATAAATGCAATCATTTTCTCGATTGTGCGAAAATTTGAGGTCTCTGAAACACAACAAGAACGAAAGAAATTGCTAAATAGCTGAAACGAGACACCCGTTTACCCGATCTATTTCACGGTCAACGCGACACCAATTTCTTCGTACGGTATTTAGCCGCGAGCGGAACGCGATCCTCCTGGATGTTATGTTTACACTCGAAACAATTATCTACCTTGACAAGCAATCCTGTCAGGTTTGAATTACCCTTGGGAGCTTGGGAACGAGCGCTGCCGTTGACGCCCACGCCGTGGACCATTCCTGTGCTTCTGGTGGCTCCGGACCCCACTGGAACACGAAAACTTTATTAGGTCTCTGAAAACCGAAACACTTTTTTAACACGAGGATTTATTTTGTAAATTAAGAGCTGCGGTGTGAAAGAGGGCTCATTAATCACCTCTTAGATTCCTTCCGTATAATATTGCCATTAATCTTGTGCCAGGAACTAAATTCGGGCTACATTTGTCATACGTGCGGGGGCTTTTTCGGTAATTAAATACTACAGTTTTATCTGTTGGGACGTGTTTGAATAGTATGCACCGTTTTGACAGGGTAAATTGCAAAAACTGCAGATGATTCAATAATTCAATTGAGCTGAATGTGTCTCTGGCGTTTATTTGGACGAATTTAGCGAAAACAGAAACCGGGGGAAGTTTTTTGTCGGAGTCGGAGAAAGCTTCCATGGAGAAAAAGTGCGAGGCACGAGGGATAATTGCGTCGCAATACGAAGCTATAATATACAGACGATGTTATTTTTGTGTTTTTCAGGGTTGTTGTTACCCTTAGAATGTTTTACGGTTCATTTGGTGAATTACAGGTGAGTGAGGAAGTTAAAGTTTCGATCCCAAATGGAATTGTTATTTTGTGTGGAAAAACAAGCTTGGTAAATGTATTGTGTCGTAGAGAGTGAAAAACAAGATACGTTTGTTTTGTAAAAATTCTTAGACATGAATAATATAATAACGTATGTTAACATTTGAAATCTGTATTTTCGCATCTGTATCAATTACAAAAGTACCAATGTAATAAGCCAAATAAAATGTCAGGGCCCCCGCGATTTTTATAAATTCAAAAATAAATCACACGGGGATCCTCAGATTTTTTCACACTAAAAAAATCACACTAGGGACCCCTAAAAGTCTTTCAGACTTTGTGAAAAATAAAAATAAGGAGATTTCAAGATCTTTTCAAATTGTTAAAAAAAAAACAACAAAATAGAGTCCTTCCCCCTCAAGAATTTATACAATTTTGTCGAATAAATTTTATTTAAATGTCAGGAAGTAACAGTCCTAAACGATTGTAGTTATAACAATTTTCGAATTTGCGATTTCTCGATTTTTCAATTTCAAATTTCTCATTTTTTCGGTGTTTCAGTATTTTGAGATTTTTCAATTATCCGGTATTTCAGTTTTTTCAATTTTTAAAATCTTTGATTATTATTCGATTTTTCAATTTTGGGAATATTTCAATATTTTGATGCTTAAGATTTTTGATTTTTTGTTTAGATTTTTTGACATTTTCGGTTTTCCAGTTTTCCAGTGTCTCAGTTTCTCCGTTTCTCCGTTTTTCGGTTTCACTGTTTCTCCTTTCCTCGGTTTCTCAATTTTTTAATTTTTCTGTCTTCGATTTATCGATTACTTCATTTTCCGATACTTCAATTTTAGGTTTTTTTAATTTTTGGATTCTTCAGTCTCAGTTTTGGAAATTTTCAATTTTTCGATATTTCAGATTTGGGATTTTTCAGTTCTTCGATTTTTAAACTTTTCGATTTTTTATTTTATTTTTTCGATTTTTCGATATTTAAATTTTTAGATTTTTTGGTTTTCAATTTTTGGCGTTTCTAAATTTACGATTTCTCGAATTGAGATTTTTCTATTTTTCGATTTCTCAATTTGACTTTTCGAAGTTTCGATTGCTCGACTTCTCGATTTCTCGACTTTTCAGTTTCAATTTTTCGGTTATTAAAATTTTTGATTTTTTGATTTTTCGATTTTTCGATCTTTTAATTTTTCGATGTTCCAGTTTTTTTTGATTCTATAGATTTTTCGATTCTTAGAATGTTCAATTTTTCGTTTCGATATTTTGATATTCCGATTTCTCCAATTTTTTACTTATTTGAATCTTCAATTTTTTAATTTTTCAATTTTTCAGGTTTTGAGTTTTTCAGTTTTTCAGTTGTTTAGTTTTTCAGTTTTTTAGTCCTTCAGTCCTTCAGATCTTCCGTTATTCAGTTCTTTAGTTTTTAAGTTTTTGAGTTCTATAGTTCTTCAGTACTTCAGTTTCTCACTTTCTCAATTTCTCGATTTCTCAATTTTTTGATTACTTAATTTTTTTCGATTTGTGGATTCTTCAATTTCGCGATTTTTTTAAATGATCGATTTCTCAGTTTTCCGTTAATTTTTCGATGCTTCAGTTTTTTCAGTTTTATAGATTTTTCGATTCTTATAATTCTTGATTTTTCGTTTCAATTTTTCGATGTTTCATTTTCGGTGTTTTAATATTCTTGTTTCTCGGATTTCTTAGTTATTTGATTCTTCAATTTTCGAATTTTATCCAATTTTTCAGGTTTTCAGTTTTCAAGTTTTTCAGTTGTTTATTTCTTCAGTCTTTCGATCCTTCAGTCCTTTAGTCCTTCAGCTCTTCCGTTCTTCAGTTTTTCAGTTCTTCAGTTCTTCAGTTCTTCAGTTTTTCAGTTCTTCAGTTCTTCAGTTCTTCCGTTTCTCACTTTCTCATTTTCTCACTTTACCGGTTTCTTGGTTCCTCGGTTTCTCGGTTGTTCGGTTTCTCGGTTTCTCAGTTTCTCAGTTCTTCAGTTTTTCAGTTTTAGTTTTTTGTTCTTCAGTTTATCAGTTCTTGAGTTTTTGTTCTTCAGTTCTTCAGATTTTAAGCTTTTCAGCTTTCCAGTTCTTCAGTTCATCAGTTCTTCAGTTCTTCAGTTCTTCAGTTCTTCAGTTCTTCAGTTCTTCAGTTCCTCACTTTCTGACTTTTTCAGTTCCTCAGTTCCTCAATTTCTTAGATTCTCAGTTTCTCAATTTCTCAGTTACTCAGTTTCTCAGTGTTCCAGTTTCTCAGTTACTTAGTTTCTCGGTTTCTCGATTTCTCAATTTCTTAATTTTTCAATTTTTCAATTCTTCAATTTTTTGATCTTCAATTTTACGATTTCTTTAATTTTAGGATTTTTTAATTTTTGGATTTCTCAGATTTCCGTTACCTTTTTTAGTTGCGGAAATTTTAAATTTTTCGAGTTTTTAAATCTTTGATTATTCGATTTTTCAATTTCTAAGTTTCTCAGTTTCCCAGTTTCTCATTTACTCAGTTTTTGTTTCTCAGTTTCTTGATTTCTCAATCTCTCAATTTCTCAATTTTTCAATTCCTCATTTTCTCGATCTTCATTTTTTCATTACTTCTTTTTTCGGTATTTCAATGTTAGGAATTTCCAATTTGTTAGGAATTTACAATTTCGCAATTTTTTTAAATTATCGATTTCTCGATTTCTTAATTTTCCATTAATTTTTCAATGCTTCAGTTTTTTTCAGTTTTATAGATTTTTCGAATCTTAAAATTCACGATTTTTCCTTGTAATTTCTCGATTTTTCATTTTCGATATTTTAATATTCTGATTTCTCGGATTTCTTAGTTACTTGATTCTTCAATTTTCGAATTTTTCAGTTTATCAGTTATTCAGTTTTTCAGTTGTTCAATTGTTCAATTTTTCAGTTTTTCAGTTAGTCAGTTCTTCAGTTCATCAGTTTCTCACTTCCTCACTTCTCATTTTCTCAGTTCCTCGGTTTCTCAGTTTCTCAGTTACTCAGTTTCTCTGTTTCTCAGTTTCTCCATTTCTCGATTTCTCAATTTTTCAATTGTTCAATTTCTTGATCCTCAATTTTTCGAATTCTTTAATTTTAGGATTTTATAATTTTTGTTGTACATTTTTCTCGTTTTCAATTTTTCTCGTTTTCAATTTTTCGACTTTTTCATTTTAGATTTTTCAATTTTTTGATTCTTGAATTTTTCGATTTTTTAAATTTTAGATTTTTCGATTTCCCGATATTTTAGTTATACGGGAAAATTTTAATTGACTTCTAAAATTTCATAATAAGATGAAAATCGGAAAATTTTAGTGCTTTTTTTGAAATTCTGAGGGAAATTATTCTCAAGGTTGTTCAATACGATATCTTGAAGTTAAAATTTTATTGACAAAACGAAACCTGAATTTTTGAAAAGCTCTAAAATTAAAAAAAAATCAAATTATTATTTTCCGTTTTGGTCGCTTCTCTTAAACTGTCGCACAGTTTGATTCTTTAATTTTTCGATTTTCAAATTTTTGATTTTTTTATGTTTCGTTTTATGACTTTTCCAATATTTCACTTTTACGATTTTTACAATTTTTCGTTTTTTTCAAATTTTCAATTTTTAGCGTTTCTACATTTTTTCATTTGTTCGCTGTTTTTGATTTTCCCCTTTTCCCGCGTTTTCGATTTTTCACATTTTCAAATCTTGAATTTTTCGATTTTTGAAGTTTTTGATTTTGATTTTGTAAATTTTTGTTTTCTTAACTTTTCGATTCTCGAGTTATCAATTTTTGGGTTTTTCAATTTTCTGATGTTCCAGTTTTGGGATTTCCCAATTTTTGGATTCTTCGATTTTTCAATTTTTTTGATTTCCCCATTTCTCAAATTCTCGACTTTTCGATTTTTGAAGTTTTTGATTTTTCAATTTTTTGATTTTTTAAATTTTCGTTCTCTCAACTCTTCGATTTTTCGATTTACCGATTTTTCTCTTTTTTCAAATTTTCAATTTTTAGCGTTTCTAAATTTTTGATTTTATCGTTTTATCGATTTTTTTGAATTTCCCATTTCTCAAATTCTCGACTTTTCGATGTTTCGATTTCCGGAAATTTCGAACTTTCGATTGATTTTTTGATGCTTAAAATTTACGATTTTTCGTTTCAATTTTTTGGATTTTTCATTTTCGATATTTTAATATTCTGATTTCTCGGATTTCTTAGTTACTTGATTCTTCAATTTTCGAATTTTTCAGTTTATCAGTTATTCAGTTTTTCAGTTTTTCAGTTGTTCAATTGTTCAGTTTTTCAGTTATTCAGTTCTTCAGTTTCTCACTTTCTCACTTCCTCACTTCTCATTTTCTCAGTTCCTCAGTTTCTCAGTTTCTCAGTTCCTCAGTTTCTCAATTTTCCAGTTTCTCAGTTACTCAGTTTCTCTGTTTTCCGTTACCTTTTTCAGTTTCGGAAATTTTAAATTCTTCAATTTTTTAAATCTTTGATTATT